TCTCCAAGGTGATTGGAGTTCTACGAAGACTAAAACCATTGCTCCCACAGTCAACTCTTGTCATGATCTATAACTCTTTAGCACAGCCATACTTTGATTATTGTAGTATTGTCTGGGATAGCCTAGGTAAGGGTCTTGGACAAAAGTTACAGCGATTACAGAATAGGGCCGCAAGAATTATTACTGAATCTGATTATAACATCCGGTCATCAGATATTTTAACATCATTGAATTGGACCAACCTTGAAACCAGACGTACCCAACAGTTCAAAACTTTTATGTACAAAACTGTTAATAATATAGTTCCTAGTTATTTGTCTGGAAAATTTACTTCCACGTCAATGATACACGAACATAGTTTGCGTGGATCTAATCATAAACTTTTTGTACCAAGACCCTTAACGGAATCCTTGAAGAAAAGTTTTTCCTACAGAGGAGCTACCCTATGGAATGACATACCCGTCGAACTCACTAGAGTTCAATCTCTCGCTGAGTTTAAATCTAAAATATCTTAATATTTCTTTTATATTAGTTTCTTTGCATGTGTAGTTTGTTACTTTTGTAAATAGTTTGATACTTTTTTATTAGTAATTAGTCGACTAGTATAGGTACACGTCTCCATTGAAGAGCACATAACATAACCTGTGAAATGGACCTCGTGTTTTAAATAAAGATGTCAATCAATCAATCAATAACGTTTATTGCGCGAGTTCGCTTCATACAATATATGGGCGAGAGTTCGTTAGATCCTAGTTATGGGCGAGAGTTTGCCAGATAACATTTATGGGCGTGAGAGATTGCCCGATAAATCATCTATGGTCGACAGTTCGCTAGATAAATTATACGGGCGAGAATTCGCCAGATACGTAATATGGGCGAAAGTTTGCCAGGTGCAATATATATGCCTGGGCGCGAGAGTTCGCTCGATCAAATACATGTTTATGGGCGCGATTTCGCTCGATACGATTATATGGGCGACACTTCGCCAGATCAAATATGGGCGCGAGTTCGACAGCTAATTATATGGGTACACATTCACCAGATCATATTTATGTCCGACTGTTATTCGCCTGATAAAATATTCATGGCGAGAGTTCATCAGATAAATTATATGGCCTAGTGTTCGCCAGCTAAAATATACATGGGCGAGATATAATGTTGGTTAACCATTGTTCTGCATTTATATGGGTGAATGCTCCTTTGACATTGATTATGCCGGTATCATTGCTATGCATATTGTTACGCTGTGTGGGCGAGTGTTTGCTTAATTGTGTAACCCTTGATCATCCTTATAATGGGATTCTTACAAGAATAATTGCTATGAATGTATTTAAACTGTGTGGGCGACGGTTCGCTTAGTATTGAGTTATTTTTCTTTTCCCCCGGTTTTGTCTAGACGATGAAGCAGGAGTTGCAGCGACTGCGGTCCTCTGTGGAGGCAATGACTACGGCCTCTGTTGAAAATTTGGTTCAAATATTGTTGGCTTATTCGTCGCAACCATTGTCGGATTTCAATAAATTTGATGCCTTGGCTATGATGGAGACTTTGCATAATACTGCTCATGATAGGCGTCATGAAAAAGATAGCTATAAAGCCGGTTTTCCACTAGCGAATTTCTTCGCGCGAAGCGAATTATCTATTGTTTTTCATAATAGAATTGACAATTATTGAAAAGGCTTTATCGCCTGGCATATCAAACTATTCGGGCAAAAACAGATCTCCCGTCGGCGCAGTTTCGTAGTTTACTATTGCGTCTGATAGGAGATAAGGACCATGAGAAGGTCTTTGATATTGTGAATAAAGTAGACAAGAGCTTCAAGCGAGACAACAGTTACAGGGGACGCTCCGCTTTGCAAGTGCCTTACGCGGGTCGTGGCCGTACAAGGAGTCCTCGTTGTTATTATTGTCAACAACCCGGCCATTTTCAAGCTCAGTGTATGCAGCGCAGGAGGGACCTGGGTACACAGCGGCCTGCCAGCAACACTGGCACTCAATGGAAGCCCTCTGACGCATCTAAGCCTCAATAGGCAATCACGGATGTTTTTTCATAGTTGTTAAAAGTAATAATAATAATAACGGTTAATCGCTTGATAGTATGCATGTTTGTTATATATGATTGTTGGCATCTAATAAGCTTTAAAATCGATGCGTGCAAGCTTGTGTTAATTATCTGCAAAGTTAATGGTTACTTCATCTGGAGTGGCTTGAGTTGGAATACACACCATTGGGCTCTAAACATATGCCTAGCTGGATGAGCTTGTGTTTTTTAGATCCAGTTTTATGTTTTGTTTATAGAAAATAAAGAATTTAATTCGTTTGTTCATGCTGTTGTTTTTGTCCTCTCCAAGTGCAATTCAGCTGATTCATGAGTGTTCAATATTAATTAAAACATAAATAAATAAATCATTAACGGACGCATCATGAATTGTCGTTGTGCGACCTTTGCTAGTGAGTCCTGACAGTTTTGAAACGGGTACCTAAACTAACACTCCTGGTTTTCCGGGCAAAGCTGTCATCTCTATGCTGGCTTTGGTTGAGGATTTTGATGTTGGAGTATTTTTGCTCCTTTGTTTCAGATGCAATTTTGGTCATGGGAATGCGATGACGCATTTGATGCTATGATAATTCAGGTTGCTTTGGAGCAACAACCCCCAGTTAAATGGGTGGATTTTATGGGTAATCCCACCAAGGTCAGCGGAGGGATGGCCGCGAATGCCCGTTTAGCTCCGATTGTGGATACTGTGACGAACGGACGGACCGTGGGACATGTCGAGGACTTGTTTTTTCGTGACCCTGATTCATTTCGCCCGGGTGAACTGCATAGACATAGTGTTGAATATTGGGAAGCCATCACAACGCAACGGTCTTCGGCCATTCAATCAGACGCTGTGCGTTGGGTACGAGAGAAAATACCCGTTTTTGAGTTTGTTCAACATTATAAAGGTTCTTATAAGGGTCAGTCCTACGATTCGGATCGCCCGCCACGGAGAGTTTTCCGCAACAATCAATCTTGCCGGCCTTTTGTGGAATTTGTCCGTCAGACGTTGTTAGATCGGTTGCGCACTGGCGCGGTTTCTTTGTTGGGGAAAGTGGGCGAAGTGGAGCCCCCGCACATTGTTCATCCTCTCACGGTGGAACCTAGAAAGCCACGGCTCTGTTATGATGCTCGTTATCTCAATTTGTGGATGCAGGATAAGCCTTTCAGTCTTGATAAGCTTTGTGATTTGCCACGTTATGTGTCCAAAGCTTCTTATCAGACGGTGCTTGATGATAAATCTGGATATGATCATCTTCTCCTCACGGATGATAGCACTACGTTTTTTGGCATACAGTGGGGTGGATGGTTTTTTTCACGTATAATACATTGCCTTTTGGTTGGAAATGCTCCCCTTATGTTTATCATAGCACCGGTCTGGTGGCTACGAATTATTTTCGCTCCATTGGTGTGCCTTGCTCCTTGTATATCGATGACAGGCATAACGGACAGTTGCAAGTTCGCTTCGACAAGGGTGCTTATGCTAGTTTTAACACGGAAGATGAACGAAAATTCGCGGCGGCTCAATCGGCGATTTTTCTTGTATCTTATCATCTGATACGTTTGGGCTATTTTCTCGGCTTGAAGAAATCTATTCTAGTTCCTCAGTTGGTAGTACCCTATCTTGGTTTTTTGGCTGATTCTGTGTTGCAAGTGTTTCATTTTGTACTCTCTTGTTACTGGGTTGCCGATGAATTGTCTTGGGATATTGCTACGAAAGAAGCTGTTGCCATTGAACGAGTATTGCTGCCATGTCGTGCTGTTCTTTCTAATGCATGGGTCGATGTTTTGGTTGATAACCAAGCTGTTATCCACTCGTGGAATAATCAAGGTGGGCGGAGTGCCTCACTTAATCGTGCCATTAAGCAGTTATTTTTTACTACGTTAAAGTTGAACATTTCCCTTCATCTCTCCTATGTTCCCACTGGTGACAACCCAGCTGATGTACCTTCGCGTCGATTATCGGCTCTGGATAGTCAATTAACGGCTTCACTTTGGACTGTGGTTCAGCACGAGTTTGGTGGTGACGGTCATACCTGTGATATGATGGCCCTAGATTCGAATGCTATATCGGATTACTTTGGTAATCGATTGCCCCATTTCACGCCCTATCCGACACCTGCATCAGCTGGAGTTAATGTGTTTGCGCAGGACCTAGGATCCCACCGTTCGATTATGCAGCGTCCCTATGTTTTTCCACCGTCAGTGTTAGTTGGTCCCATGCTTCGTTTCCTCGAGTATTATCAGCAATCGTGTACTATTGTCGTGTTGGATGTATACCCGCGCAAGTATTGGTGGCCTTTGCTTCAGTTTCGAGCGCGTTCGTCTCGAAAGTTAGCCTCTATACTGGAGATCGTAATGCTCTCCTAGTTCCTTCGAAGCATGGATGGGTTGCTCATTCTGGACTTAAGTGTGACTTGTGGGCGTTTGCAATTTAATCGTGTTTAGTATTTTACTTTACTGTATAACAATAGCAAGTCGTCCATTATTTTTGGTCATGTTAGGTTGTTGCGTATATAAAATAATCAATAAAACAACACTTGGGCTTGGTAACACCGTTTTTGTTTTTTTCTTTTCTTCAATTTGTTTTAGATTTTACCTATGATAGCCAAATTATTTGTCCCGTCAGTGAAATGCCCTGATTGTAGCCATGCCAATGACATTGATTTTCCTTTTTGTCAAAAATGTGGATATCAGCGACGGATCCGGGCCACTCCTCGTGTAGAATCGGGACTTCAGGTCGACCTTGAGGAGCTTGATAATCGTCTTCACGAATTGTTCGAGTATGATCACGCTACCAAGTACTCGAAACAGAAAGATTCACTACAACGTGAGTTGGAGTCCTTTTTGACAGCTCTTCCCGGCAGTATTATATTGGCTACTGTAACACCACGCGATGTGTGTCGTTTTCTGTTTTTTAAAGATCAGGATGGCAAGATACAGATTCATCGAAACAGTTGTCAGTTTTTGGGTCAACGAGGACAACACGCGTGTGGTTGTCCGTTACGTTTGTCCTATAAAACCGTTGATTCGTACATTGGCAAGTTGCGGTCAATTTTGCATGCCCAAGGTCGCTCAGGTGAATGGGATAAGCGGCTTGCTTTGGGTAATCCAGCAGCCGACCAGTCTGTCAAGGATTATCTTCGATGTGTTACGCGAGAGCAATTACAGGCCAGAGTTACACCAAAGCAGGCTACTCCCTTTTTTGTTCATAAGTTAACTCAATTATCACTTCACTTGCAGCGTAAGCTTGATAGTCCAGGTCTTCCTTCTCTTCAGAAGTTTATTATTGCTCGTGACCAGGCTTATTTTAAGACTGCCTTTTTTAGTGGAGATAGACCGGGAGATCTCTCTCAAGTAAAAGTATCAGAGATTTTGCGTTTCCCAAATGATGATGGATTTTTATTTAATCATATTTGGGGTAAGACCTTGAGGGACGGTGATCAGAATGTTTTTGGGATCAGACGAAACTCGCACACGGCAATTTGCCCTATTAGGGGGATCGAGCAGTACATGGATGTGGCACAGCAGTTATCTATCGATCTGACCAGTGGTTATTTATTTCGCCCTACCACTCCAAAGGGTGGAATCCACGATTCTCCTTTTACTTCTGCCGCTGCTGAAGCACGTCTTAAAGCATACTTGAAAGAAATGAACGCAGACGAGGGCGAAACATTACATGGTTTTCGGTCCGGTTGTGCCATCACGTTAGCACTCACTGGCGCAGATTTGGCAGAAATTATGGATCATGTCGGTTGGTCTCGTCGTCATACTGCATGCTCTGTATTATCTACAGCTTGCAAAAGTTCTCAATCCCGCTGGTGCATCCGCACGTCTTTCATCTTCTCGTGCTGCGGATGTAACAGAACCATGGAATGATATTAACGAACTTAAGCAGTTTGTTTGCGCTTTTCCTACGGCTGCCCTACGGAAACGACAGTATTCTGATTTGTCTTGATTGGTTTTTCTCATGTAAAGTTTGGGAGTTTTGGGTGAGATTGGGGTGTTTTTGAAGATATATTATATGGTTTCGAGTTTATTAGGTGTTAGGGAAGTAATCCTTCTGGAAAGACAAGTTTAGGTGGCGTGGATCACCATTATCCCCAATCCTTAATTAGTCTGAGCATGATTGTGAGGGTTGTGAATAGAATACTATTCACAACCCTTATAATGATATGCGAAGTATAAATAAGAGATATTTTACCATATAATGCTTGGTTGATCAAGCACACGTGTGTGCTACGACACGGGGAGTATAAATATTGGAGAAATCCTCAAATCTAGCTCAGTTTCTTTCCAGCGGATAAGTGAGCAGGATGAGAACATTAACAAAATTAACAATGCTAAAACCAGACGGGAATCATTCATGCGTCGCAATCTCAACTGAACCATAGTTAATAGAGGAGAGGGTTTGGAAGCTGGGGGCGTGGCGAAATTATGTTATTGTTCTCTGTCACGTGACAATACGGGTGCATCAAAATCTATTTGTAATAGGAGATTGTATTACAGAGGAGGCTGTAGTGCTTGAAAAACGTCTTTTACAGAAAGGATATCCAAATATCAGTTGCAAATTGCTCCATACATGGTTGCGGACTAGTAGGAAACACTTTGGTCTCAGTATTTTTTGAAATCCAACAAAAGACGACGATTTATCGACGAAAATTCGCGAAGCGTTGGCGAGGCTTGTCACAAAGGACGCTGGATCGAGAGATAGAGAGAAAGAAACTTTATTCAAACAAATACCAATATTGGTACATTGAATACCTACATATACATTAGTTACAAAAAATAAAATATAAAAAAGACATTACAGTATATAAACTTACAAATAATTTATTCAGGCTAACTCATTCAATATGTCAAAAGTTCTTAGTATATCGTAGCAATATTTTGAAGATACTTTCAGAATATTTCTATCTTTCATACTTAGTATATAATGGAACAAACTTTGTGTATCAAAATATATAAATGATTGGTTAATTTATATACAGAATTAATAAAATTCTGTCGCAAAAATGTAAACACTGTGTTACCACATGACATTAGGTAATGTTGTTCATTTCCAACTTCACCCTGATCACAAAGCTTACATTTTCTGTCACAGTAGGCAATTTTTTTATATCGGCCAATTTCTACTGGTAATCTGTGCGCTGAAACTCGTAATCTTGTAACTGCTTGACGGTACTTAAAATTTTTAATTTCTAAAAGGTATTTTTCAATACCCACATTTACTTTAAGTTTCTTATATTCTTTCAATTTACCACTATCACCATTTTGAAGAACCTGGTCTTTCCAAAATGAGGTAAATTCGTTATTTAATGTAACATTTAAATAATGGCAAAAATTTCGTCTTGTTTTGGTTGACTCATCACTGGAGTTTGAAAATTTGTCGAAGTCCTTCATCTCTAATTTACACATTCTTAGCAAAAATTGTATGAAAACTATTGGTTTTAGATTCAAACGCATGCAAACGTTTCTAGCTTCACCAGATAACGTATTATTAAAATATGTACTGCTAATACGAATCCAGTATTTAACTACAAGAGTAGAAATTTGAACAATCAAAGGAACCTTTCCTAATTCGGCATAAATAGTCAAATTTGTTGTTTTTGAGTGCACGCCAAGAATTCGTTTGCAGAATTTCAAATGAATTCTTTCAATTTCATTGATAATTTTGAAGAATTTACTCTTAAAGATCTCAAAGGTAGTTACTCTACCTATCAAATAAGGTCCCCAAATTTCACATCCGTATAACAAAATGGGGATTATCATCGCTGAAAATAGTTTTAAAAGTATTTTTATTGGTACGTTTTCAAAATTAGAAAATTTTTTTAAAAGGTTATTGTATTCTCTTAGAGCTTTATCACGTAAGGCTTTTAGGGCTTTCTTAAAATTCCCAGAAAAATGAATAGTATTTCCAAGATAGCAATATTCATCTACTTGTTCCAGGGCTTCATTTTCATAGTACCATTTTGTC